CTCCTGTGGGCTTCGAGGCCGTGGGGTCGTTTTCAGCTTCACCTACGCCTCACCTGTTCTGCTGCAGATGTCCCTGACGTGTCCGTCCCTCTGCTGCGTCAGACTCGTCCTCAGACTCTTCAGGTCCTCCATCTCCGACTGCAGCGCCTCGATCTCGCGTCGAGCCTCGAACACAGAAAAGCACAGAAACGTCAGGCTCGTCTTCATCAGCGGATGAAGCCCCTCCCCTCTGCGTTTAAATCGCAGTGATCAGCGAGAAGCTGAAGGAAACCCGGGAGGTTCCTGGTCAGAGGAGGAGGAGCTCAGAGCGCCTCTGATGATTTACAGGTGTTTCCTGGTTACCTGCTCCAGCAGTAGCTCCTGAGGAGAGTCTGAGCTGCTCGTGGCCGATCTGAGAGCTGCGAGGAGGGCGGAGCCGGCGCGAGGAGCTGTCACCTCCTTCAGCCTGAAAACATGAAGAGACACTTTAAACACGGCTCTGCCCACTGACCTACAGTTCCTTTGACCTCCACCAGGTGAGCAGTTACAACTTCCACCACCGTGGGGCAGCGTCCTCACAGTGGCTGCTGTTTCATATTTGGTTTTAGCCCCGCCCCCTTTTTCTCTGCTGTAGTTCACAACCCTCCTCTGGAAGGTTCTTACTCTGAGCTCCTCCTCTTCCTCGCCAGCCAACTGTTCACTCCCACCGTCTCCATGGCAACGCCCCAACCTTCATCACCTTCCTGCTCCACCTGGCACAAACACAGACGCCTTGGGTGAGGCACGGCCTAAGTTCAACCAATCAATAATCAAAGCTCTTTGTAACCACGGTGACAGTCAATCCCACCTGACGCTCATTTCCTCGTCTTCATTTTAAATCTCATCAAACTCTTTGAACTTTTCTTTACCTGATCAGGTCACATTTAATCCCAGGGTTTAATCCTAGTCTCACTTCCTGCTTCTTTTTCATATAAATTAAGTTTATATTATAAACATAAATTATTCCCTGTAAAGCTGTGCTTTTATTTTGAAAAAACGAACACTTAGGGAGCTTCCTGTGGTCAGGAGCTAAAGATGGGTTCTTACATCGCTGTCCGTGACAACCACTCGTTCTTCATCTGATGAGATAACTGTCGGCTCATCCAAAGGCGCCGCCGCCATCACTGCTGCTGTTGGTTTGATCGGATCTAAAAAAGAAGCAGACACACGAGTCAGAGACGCGTCCTCAAACAGGAAGTCATCGCATGCCTGTCTCGCAGTTTCTCAGTAGAGTTTAAAAAACACGCGCTGGAGGCGACGTCCGCCTGCTCGCTGTCAGACGCTCCGGGACGATCAGAACCGAACGACTACTCGCCGGAGTACAGAGCAGCGGTTCACCACGCCACAGATTCATCGCCGCCATCATCACCGTCGGCATCATCACAGCATCGTGTCAGCTTCCTGACTGTGTCAGAGGCGCCTGTAGCGCCGCCCTGAGGACCCGTCTCACACCTGAACACTTTGATAACACACGATGCTAATCTGTCACGTGGTCGTGCTGACCGCAGTTTCATTGATCATGTGTTTACAGGTGAGAGAGCGCAGCATCACATCCTTCGTCAGTCATTGGGCGACGCCCCCAGCAACTTCCAAGTGCAGCGGCTGTCAGCTGACCTCTGGCGCACTAAACTATTCATTATCGGGACGCAGCGGCTGATTAATCTTCACATGATTGGCTGTAGAGTCCTGGCCACGCCCCCTAAGCTCTATAATTCCTGCGTGAACGTGACCTCGCTTTCTGTCTCGTCTCCTGCTTGGTGCTGGCGTTCCCAATAACCAGGTCACATGACCCACCTGAGTCTTTCTCACCTGCTGACGGCGCGATGCTCCACAGGTACTCGTCCCGCCTCCTCCTCAGCCTCCTCTTCTTCCTCTTCAGCTGTGACTCCTTCCTCCTCAGCTCCTGGATCACCTCCACCGCCTGCAAGCAGACCACTCGTTACCCTCCACCCACCTCTCCAC